GTTGTGCTAACAGCGGAGTTGGAAGACCGAGGACTGTGGGGGCATACAGCAGCGTGCGTTGTGCTAACAGCGGAGTTGGAATCGGCCAGCTGCTGCTCAGGAGAAAGATGGGAGTCTCCTCTCAGGAAGGTGTAGACCCAATGAGTCGGGAATGAATCAATGGCAGTGCAGTTTGGCCCTTGCTTTTTGTTTCTGTTTTCTCTAAAAATTAGCCAATGACAACCCTGTGGACTGCATTGTTGTGCTGGGGGATGAATGTCTAGGTTGTGTGGTTTCTGAACGAGACAGTGGCCCTGGCAGTGGACTCCAGCATGCCAGTCTTGGTGCAAATGGCACAGGGCGGACAACTTCATGCCTTTCTACGTGGGGTCAACATGAGTTCGAGTCAACTGGATGGAAACTAACAATTGATCTGGATTTCAAAAGCCAAGAAATCACCCTGGATTCTTTGTGTTGGGGGCCACACCTACAGGGTTTTTGGGCACCTTTGAGACTGTGGTCCTTCATAAGTCGCTGAAAGGCCTAGGGACAGAGGACGCACATGGTCTTGGCCCTCCTGGCTTACCTGGCAGCTATCTGCACCTCCAATCAAAAGCCCAGCGCAGAGCTCGGTTGACCTAACTCTTCCGTTCAGGTACTCGTAACGATTGCACACTTTGTTCTCGATCACAGGGAGCTGAGCTTCCTTGAGTAAACCAGCCCCAGAGGTGCCTGCGTTGGAGAGATTTTAAAAAATGGTTATCGCAGCTTTGTTCACAATAGCAAGGAGCAGGAACAACCCAAGTGCCCATCAACAAACTAATGGATAGAGAAGCTGTGGTATATTCGCACAATGGGATACTACGCTGCATTGAAAAACAAGAAACTCATGAAATACTATTCAAAATGGGTGACCCTGGAGGATGTTATGCTGAGTGAAATATCTCAGTCACAAATACTGCATGGTGCCACTATTGTAAAACGGGACTGACATTGGGGTTGGGGCGCGACTGAGAAAGATGAGATAAATGATGTATACTGCATTGAAACAGATGAGGGAGAGAACTGTTTAAAAGGGATATATGATTAGGTAGTATTGTCATGACAGGAGTCCAGAATGAAGGCTGCACAGTGGAGTGGACTTGGGGTGAGGGATTGCATATCAATGAAATAATTTTACTTTTCAAAGGGAAGAATGAACTGGAGAGGAGGAGTGAGCAGGAAGAAAAGTACAACAATGACTGAGTGAATGGAAACCCTAAGTCTGTAAATTTTCATTAAAATTAATAATAAAATTTTTTTTTAAATGGTTACTGTTGACAGGGGAGCTTCTAGAACAGCAGAGCAGCTCGTCTGTCCTGAGGTTGGGAAGCCTCGTCGGTTCCCAGCACTGTCGGATTCTGTTCTCTGTGAACCTGAGAGCCTGGGTGGCAGAGTGTGTATTAGGGGCAGCTGACACACTGGCAGTTGACTCCCCCAGCCCCTCGAGAGACAGAGGAGCGGTTCCCGCCGGTGACGCTGTGCAGCCTGGAACCCGGTGAGGGTCGCTGTGAACCAGAACCAGCTCCAAGGCAGTGAGTTTTCAGATCCTCACAGCGGAGATGTTCTGTCAAACCTGAGGTTCCCATACAGCTGCATTTGCAATTTACTTTGTGTTTATTTAAGTATTGTTGCTGTTACGTTTTGTTCTCGACTTTGCCTTTACAACTATAAACAAGTGCTTTTTTATATGGAAAGGAAGTTTGAAAAACACAACTGCTACTATATTTAGACATTCTCTTTTAGGCTGTTTGAAGGAGTTCTGGTGCCACAGTGTGCCGTTATGTGTAAGCTGCTAACAAAAAGGTCGAATGTTCTAATTCACCAGACACCCTTTGGGAGAACTGGGAAGGCTTGTGCTCTCATAAAGGGGTACAGCCTTGAACCGTGTGTAACACTGTTGTTGTTGTTGTTAGGTACCATCGGGTTGAGTATGGTTCATAGTGACCCCGTGAACAAAAGTTCTGAACCCTATTCTGTCCTGCTCCATCCTCACACTTCCTGACACACAAGCTCAATGCCACAATCACCATGTCAATCTACCTGGTTGAGGGTCTTCCTCTTCTTCACCAACCTCCCACCTTCCCAACATCACGTCCTTTTCCAAATAATAGCACCTCCCAGTAACATGTGAGGCAAAGCCTCATCATTCTTGCCTCCAAAGAGCACTCTGGCTGCACCCTCTCCAAGACATATCTATTCATTCTCTTGACCATCCGAGGAATGTTCAGTGTTCTTCTCCGACACAACAGCTCAAAGGCATCAATTCTTTTTCTGTCATCCTTATTCACTGTCCAGCTCTCAGATGCCTAGCAAGTGATTGGAAAGACTACGGCCTGAATCAGATGCACCTTAGTCTTCAAACTGACATCACTACTCTTCAATAATTTTGAAACATCCCTAACTGCAGATTTTCCCAGTGCAATTGTCTCCTTATTTCCTGACTGCTCATATCAAGAGTGTTAATTGTGGATCCAAGCAAGATGAAGTTGTTGACAGTTTCAATCTCCTCTCCATCCATCATGCCTCTGCCTATTGGTCCAGTGAATGTGTAGCACTAAGAAGCAACAATTTCATAAAATACTGTATAACATAGGAGAGTCTAGAGAGCATTATGCTGTGTAAACTAACTCAGTCTCATAAGGACAAATTCTGCATAAGATGAGTATTATGAGGATAGATAGTAAGATATGTGTAAAAGTCCAAGGAAGGAAAGGGCCATCGGGACCCCCTCTGGAATGAGGGGAAATCACTGGAATGGGGGGGGAGGGGAGGGGGTGAAGGAATCAGGCCTTCCTTCTGTCAGAAGGTCCCTGACAGTGGACTTGCCCAGTGCAATATGTCTCCTGATTTCCTGACTGCTGGTACCAAGCATGTTGATTATTGGTCTAAAGATTAAATCACTGACACCTTCAGTCCTTTCTCCATCTATCATAATGCTGCTTGTTGGTCCTGTGGTGAAGATCTTTGCTTTCTTGATGTTGAGACGTAATCCACACTGAAGGTCGCAGTCCTTGATCCTCTGCAGCAGATGTTTCCGGTCCTGCTAACTTTCTGCCAAGTTGGGTCATCCACATAATACGGCTGGTAAATGGGTCTTGCTCCAATCCTGAAGTCACTTTCTTCTTCATAGAGACAGGGTTTGTGAATTATTGGCTCGGCATACAGACTGAGTGAGTATGGACAGAAGATACAACCCTGACACACACTCTTCCCGATTTTAAACCATGCTGTGTTCTCTTGCTCTGTTCGGATGACATCTTCTTGGTTTATGTATAGATTCCATCTGAACACAATTAAGTGTTCTGAGATTCCCATTCTTCTCAATGTTAGCCATAATTTGTTGTGATGCACACAGTCAAATGCCTTTGCATAGTCAATAAAACACAAATAGACATTCTTCTGGTATCTCTGCTTTCAGCCAGTACCCATCTGACTCCATCAAGAAAACCAGAAGACTATTTGTGCTTCTTTGACTACAAGTGTCCAACACTATCCCTGGTTCTATGGCCTCTTCTAAAACCAGCTTGAACTCCTGAAAGTTCCCTGTTAATGTACTGTATACTTTTCACTGAGAAGTAATCTTTTCTTGTACAAATTTACCACCTGGTATCATATACTTCTGAAGTTGTTGTTATTGTTATATGCCATCAAGTCACTTGCAACTCATAGCAATCCAATGTACAACAGCCCTGAAACCTGCTCTATCCTGTGCCAACTTTATTGTCTCAGACACACCTACCCTCATTATCCCAGTCACTGTATCAATTCATCTCATTGATGGTCTCTCTCTTTCTCCGTCCCTCCACTCTTCCAAGCATGATTTCCCTCTCCATGGACCAATCCCTCATTGCAACATGCCCAAAGTATGTTAGATGAAGGCTCAGAATCCTTACCTCAAAGGAGAAGGCTGGCTTCACCCTCTCTAGGATGAACCTGTTTGTTTTCCTGGTAGTCCATGTTATATTCAACACTCTTCTCCAACACCACAGTTCAAAGGCATCAATTCTCTTCTATCATCCCTAGCCACTGTCCAGCTCTCTGACACATAGCAAAAACAATTGTGAAGACTATGGCCTGGAAGCAGGAATGGCATCCACTTCCTAAACAACATACCTCCAGAAACTCTATGAACTTTGATAAATGTTGATAGTTGTAGAGGAGCTTCAGGCCTTTTGTTCATAGGGTCACTATGAGTCGTGCTCTACTACAAGGCAATCAACAATAGCAACAACAATCTGTCCTGTATCAGGTGCACCTTAGTCTCCAGACTGATATCTTTGCTCTTCAATACTCTAGGGAGGTCTCTGAGAACTGACTTTCCCAATGCAATTCATCGCTTGATTTCTTGGCTGTTGGTACCAAGAGTGTTGGTTGTAGATCCAAGCAAACTAAAACAGTGAACAATCTCAATCTCTTCACCATCTATCATGATGCTATCAATAGGCCCAGTGGTGAGAATCTTTGTTTTCTTGATGTTGAGCTTCAATCCATATTGAAGACTGCAGACCTTGACCTTCTTCAGCAAGCACTTCAGGTCCTCCTCAGTTTCAGCAAGCAGGGTTGTGTCATCGGCATAATGGAGGTTGTTGATGAATCTTCCTTCAATCCTGATGCCACATTCCTCCTCATAGAGCCCAGCGTCCCAGATGATCTGTTCTGCATATAGATTGAAAAGGTATGGAGACAGAATACATCTCTAGTGTGCACCCTTCCTGATTTTGAACTACGCAGTATCTCCTTGATCTGTTATGACAACTGCCTCCTGGTCCAAGTATACGTTTTGCATAAGCACAATCAAGTGTTCTGGGATTCCCATTCTTCTCAGAGTCAGCCACAGCTTGTTGTGATCCACACAGTCAAAATCCCTTGCATAGTCAATGAAACACATATAGACATTCCACTAGTACTCTCTGTTTTCATCCAACATTAATAATTAACATTAGCTATAATATCCCTAGTACCATAGCCTCTTCTAAACCCAACCTACACATCTAGCAGTTCTCTGTTGATGTGCTGCTCCAGTTGTTTTTGGATAATTATCAGCAGAACCTTGCTTTTATGTGACAAGAATCTGGAGCACAACCACCTGGCCAGCTGACTGAAAGAGATCTGTATTTTTTTTCCATTCCAAAGAAAGGTGACCTATGAAGTTAGCACTTCAATCATGCCTACTTCCTCTTGTAGTCAAACAAGCACAGTCTTCTGGTATTCTTTTCATTCTGCCAGAATCTATCTGACATCAGCAATAGTATCTCTAGTGCCACAGCCTCTTCTAAACCTAGATTGAACTTCTTGCAATTCCCTGTCTATGTACTTGTTCTAGCCTTTTAAAAATTATCTTATCAATATTTTGCTTACATGTCAATGTTAATGATATTGTTCAATATCTTACACATTCTGTTGGATCACCTTTCTTGGGAATGGTAACAAGTATGAATCTCTTCCAGTCAGTCAGGCAGACAGCTGCCCTCCAAATTTCCTGGCATAGATTGATGAACACATCCAGGGCTGCATCTGTCGTTTGAAACATGCCGATTGGTATCCCAGTACCCCATTGATTTATGGGGCCTAATTTTTTGCCAATGCCTTTAGTGTAGCTTAAATTTCTTCTTTTATCACCATTGGCTCCTGATCATATGGTACTTCCTCAAATATTTCTTTCAGTCTTGGTCAATTCCTGGTACAGTGAT